AGTCTGGAATGGAGACAGGGAGTGGTTGGTATTCAGTGAAGAGTTAGTTTTCTCTAAAGTAAGAGAAGTGAATGTCTTAAAGGAAGTGTCGGTCTTTACACTGTGGAGTGCTGGGGAAAACATACACTATCAAAGAGAGCAACTATAATCGAGCTGTCTGGCAAGCCCAGGAAGTTTGTCTTTCCTCTTCTCTGCTGTTCTACACTGGTTATGTCCCACCTCTACTCTTCTCAAATATGACATGCATGTCCCCATTTTCCTATTACTCTCAGCAATGGCCTCACCTGCCATTTCATAGAGAAAACAGAAGGCATCATAAGAGAATTACTCTGAATCCTGCCACCAATTTGGCCTACATCATCTCATTCATTTACCTTGGTCTTCAATATCATCTTCTTTCATTCCTTCAAATTGGTTTCTTTCTATCAGCATTTAAAAATATACACATCTTCCTATAAAATACCTGATCCCCAAACTTACACCCTATCCATCTGCAGCAATCACTCTATTTTTCTCTTTCTTGTCTTAATTTCTATCTATTAGTAGAAGTACTTATCACAGACATTTCACCTACCACTTCTCACCTCACAACAAATTTGTGTCTGTCTCTACTACTCTAGGAAAATTGCCACTTGCTCCCAGAGCTCCTTCCACTTAGCTTTTGGCACATGTGCAACACCTGTAATTTCTTAATCTAAGATTGCTGCTCCCACTAGACTGTGAGTTCTGTAAGGAGAGGGCCTGGCTATCTAACAAGCCTCTTTAGCACACAGGTACTCAATTATGTTAAGTCTAAATGAGCTCACCAGGACTTCCTGTGACTGAATCCTGTGTTCTCTAATCCTCTTAAAAATCCTCTTCTTAGTCATTCATTCCCTCTCAAACATTCTACTCACCATCATTTTCTTTATTATTTCAAAAAATATTTGTGATTGTTAACTATATGCTAGGTACTCTTCCAAAATCCAGAGACACAGCAGCACATAAAACAGCAAATAAGCCACAAATTCAAAAGACAGTCCATTTTCGTGGGGGAGACAGATATAAACAAGTAAACAAAAAAGATGATCTGAAATGCAATGTTATTAAGTGTTAAAAGCAGGATCGTAAGCTGGGCAGGTAGCCCAGTGTTTAAGGTGCTGGAAACTCACATGGCTGACTATGGTTCAAGTCCTGGACCTGGTGGCTTATTTTCTCACTTTCCCTCGCTCTCTCTGGTAAAATTTAAAATAATAATAATAAATAAACAAACAAATAAATAATTATTTAAATAATGCAGAATCATGTCATGTGGATGTAATAACTCAACAAGACGCTCAGACGAGACATTGTGAGAGGGTGACCGTTAAGCTGATTCCTAAAAGGTATGAAACAATCACATGAAGAGCATTCTCAGCAAGAACAGCAGTGAAACTTGGTCCCAGGTTCTCCACTTGATGTACGCATTCTCCCAGAGCATCACATCTGTATCCTTTCCTATGATTCACTATAGGCAAGCTGGAGACACCAGCATTTAAATCTCTATTCCAGCTCTCTATTTAGAGAGCCCAAGACCCCCATGCCCAGATATCTCCCCAATACCTCTACTTGAAGAGCCCCTTTCACAAGGGCTACATACATAACTATACTTATAAGTTACTGAAGCCAGAAATCAAGTTGTCTTTGAATCCTTCTTACTCTTCTTCCATTCAATCTATCAGCAAGCCTACTGACTTAATTTCCAGAAGACACCTTGAATTTGATCACTTCCTCCATTCACATACACACTATTAGGTTGTGACACCATTTCCTGCAAGAGGATTGTTGAAACCTCACATCAGTATCCCTGTTCAAGTCTTGTGTCCCTGAAATCCAGTCACCATATTGCAGACTATGCCTCAATCTATTTAGTTACTTTCCAGTGCCTTTAGCACAGCTTACAAATCCTGTCATAACATGGAAATGACACTGAAAATGACCCTTGCTATGAAGACAAGACCCTTGCCTCTACATGGCTGGCACACAATAGGCACTTAAATAGCAGCTGGAGACTGAAAAGGGCTCTCTAATAGTACGTCTTGCTATCTCTTGTGGCCAGGCCTTTGTATTACCTATAATTCTCTCTGCCCAGAATTTTATTCCCCTCTTATTTTTTATTACCTGGATTTCTCTTGATCATCTTTCAGGTTTTATATAACACAATATGGTATTCCCTTTGGGTAGGTACTTTTTTTTTTGGAGAGGTTTTTGCTATAGGGCGCGTGCGCTCACCAGACAGAGGGACAGAAAGCGAGAAATCACCCCCCAGGGGGGGGATGGCCATACCGCAATCCCTTCTCCTCCATTCTCCTCTTGGGATCTTGGGCACGCACGCACACATGCCCGGCATGAGTTTAAAGCAACCGGACCGAACTGCGGTCCACTACATGGGAGTCCAGCGACCCAGCCATTACGCTAACTGCAGGTCCCCCCGTTTTTTGTTTTTTGGGTTTTTTTTTTTGAGAGATTTTTGCTATAGGGCGCATGCGCTCACCAGAAAGAGAAAGACAGAGAGATTGAAAGTGAGAAATCAGCCCCCAGGGGGGATGGCCATACTGCAATCCCTTCTCCTCCATTCTCCTCTCAGAATCTTGGGCATGCATGCACACGCACCCAGCGTGAGTTTAAACCACTGGGTCCAGGTCTCAAACCACGGTTGACTACACAAGAGTCCAGCGACATAGCCATTACACTAACTGCTGGTCCCCAGTAGGTACATTTTTTGAAAACTCTGAAACTTTCACCACTTGGTGGAATGCAATGCCCTAAATGGAGTTAGGTACTCTGCCTGATGATTGCTTTAATACCTAATACCACCTTTATCATGGAATCCTTGTATTATTGCACATGCTTGTTTAAAGTTTGCCTTTCCTCCAAAATTCATGAACATGTATGTCTTATTCACCTCCCTATTCCTAGCTCTTACAACAACAGTGCTTGGTAGTGGGTGCTGGACATCTGTTGTAGTCATGCATACACAATTTGCTCCTTTATACCTATTCATGTTTAAATTTTTATTCCAAAATCATCTTTATTTGAAGGAACATTGCTATGAAGAGTGGAAACACAAATTTAGGATGGCACATAAATAACATTATTGTGAGAACTTTAGAGAGTTTCATGGATTAAAAATTTTAAAACATTGTAACCCCTTTCTTTCTACTGAGTCATCAGAAGAGTCATGATGCATTTTTGCATAGAAAAACAGGAAAATGTTAGGACTTTTCCGACAACTCAATACATTTCAATTTCTCTTCTAATAAAATAGAAATTTCTAACTCTATCACTAAACAAAGAAACCATAACAGAAGTTTAAAACCTCTGATATTAGTAAATTTTCCACCACCCCCCACTTTTTGTTTGTTTGTTTTTGTTTTACTTTTAGGTTTTTGCTATACGGTGTGTGTACTTACTGGGGAGAGAGACAGAGATCATTACAGGGAAAGTGCGAAATTACCCCCCAGGGGGATGACCACACCACAATCCCTTCTCCTCCGTTCTCCTCCTGGGATTTTGGGCATGCATGGACACGCAGCTGGCATGACTTTCAAGTAGCCTGGTCTGGGCAGTCAGCCACGTGGAAGTCCAGTTGTTTTAACTGCCACACCACCTTCTGGCCCCCCCCTCCTCTTTTTTACCTTAATTTAAAGGCCAGAAGTTCAATTCTGTTAACTCTAGAAAAATAATTTTATTTTTGTACCTCACAGGTGAAATCAATAGCAATATTAGCGTATATAAGCACTGAAAGTTATTTCTAGAATTGACACAATGTTTAGCCTTGGCAAATACTATTTTTCTATTTTTCATTGCCTAAGAATGGATAATAATAACTTATCACTTCTTAATCACAATGAAATGTTTTAAGAAACGGCTGTTACATAAAAACTATTTGTGTTATAAAGGAAAATTGGTATTTTTCTTTTATCTTAGGTGCTGCAGTGAATGCAAAGCTTATTCTATATTTTAGACCTGTATAAATACAACTAAAAATGTTTAGGTCACAGAATGTCAAACTGAGAAATACACCAAAGATGGCTTGTTATTAAAAACTGAGGCTATTTCTCAGAATAAAATTTAGTAATGAGAAAATAGCAAATAATATTAAGCAACATTTAAGTTAATTTTAGTAATTAGATTGCTATACCATTTATTAAACTAATTGTCAAAGAATATTCTTTTATGACCCCATCTCTTGAAAAAGATAAATTTTATATATACTAGGTATTCTTTCCTTGTCAATCCACTTAAACAAGACCTTAAATAAGAAATAGATTATACCAAATATCAAGTATTTATTTTCTAAGGTGTTATATTATACATTCAATTCCATTCATATAGGATGCAGTTCTTGTCATATAGAAGTCATACGTATCTAATGGGGACAGCTATGTCTTTCTTAACGGTACCCACTGCCAAGAAAGCATTGCAGAAACTAGTTACAAACTATCATGAAGTAAGAAATGCAATAACAGATTCAAACATAATTTTATTTATTGCATTATTTAAACAGTGGTAGAAGTAAATACCTAAACGAGACGGTTAGGCTTCCTATACTTAACCTCTTTCACATTTTAGATGGACACAGAATGTATGACATAGTCTAATAAAGCTATTTGCATGAACTGAGAGGAAGCTGAGGGAGTAAATACCAAGCATTACCCTGAAAACAGATGGAGTGGCAGATGGGACCGCAGATTTGGGTCACTTGATCTGTGTACTACTTTACTACCCAGAAAGATATGGCTGAAATCTCACAAAAACCTTACAAAATTTATCCTTTTATTTCATACATGCATGTTTCTCAAAAAAATAAATATGGTTAAGATCTTAAACTATGTTAAAGTTTAATTTCCTGTGTAATGAATTATTTAACTAAAAGATATCTTCTCACACATTTCTGAAACAGATGGTAGGACAGAGCAGTTGCCCAGTGGAATAAAATGTACACTGACTAGTTGTCCAAAAATTGTAAAGTTAATTACCTTCCTTCATTGATGAGTTCAATAAATGCAAGTCCCGCATTCTTCTGAATAGAGTTTTGCCATTCCTAAAAGAAGAAATCGAACCAAATATAAGACAAATAAACATGTAAATCGAAATAGTATGTGACTTAAGGATCATATTGATGCTGTTGATAAATTCCACATATTATTTCTAAATTTCTTTACAATATTTTATAACAAATGTTATTTTGTAAGAATCAAATTATTAAATAGCACTGTATCACTTAGTTTAGAAGATGCTTTTGAATTCCCAGAAAATCTCAGACTGAGATGGAAAGCGAAATGGCAGGTAGAGGACTTTGAACTCAAAACTTCCTTCCAAAAGAGACCAAATGACCAGAACAGACCTAGTGTGACTATATTTGTGATACAATATTTGTGATAAAAACTCTGGTCCTGGGACCAACAGCTGGCTTAACGGTTATGTAACTGGACTCCCATGTAGTTGATTATGGTTCAATCCCCAGACCTGGTGGCTTAAAACTCATGCCAGGTGTGTGTGTGTGTGTGTGTGTGTGTGTGTGTGTGTGTGTGATTGGGGGGGGTGTCCAAAATCCTGAGAGGAAAATGGAGGAGAAGGGATTACAGTGTGGTCACCTCCCCATGGGGGGTTTATTTCTTACTTTCTGTCTGTCTCTCTCTCTCTCTCTCTGGAGAGCATACATACCCTATCACAAAAAACTCTCTTAAAAACAAAACCCAAAAAATTGTAGTTTCTAGTACAGTTGTAATCCACTGAGGTTATAAACTGAAAACTATGTATTCAGATTGATTCAAAAGTGAAATGTTCTACTTAGATGTACATTCCAAATGACTGATAGCAAGATAGAAAAAAATATTATGAATTCTCCTGAAATTTGCTTAAAATATTTAATGTTAAAACTATAGCTAAAAGGACCAATAGATGGCATAACGGTAATGTTGCTAGACTTCCACGTAAGTAGACTGCAGTTCGAGTCCCAGACCTGAAGGCTTGAAACTCACACTTGGTGAGAATTCGTGTGTGCCCTAAAATCCAAGAGGAGAATGGAGAAGGGATTGAGGCATGGGCATCCTTCCAGGGGATGTTTCATCATTTTCTGTCTATCTGGTGATTGCACTCAGTATACAGCCAAAATCTCTCTCTAAAAAAACAAACAACAAAAACAAAAACAAACTATAACTGAATACAATGTAATTTTTTTTGTTGGTTCAGATTAGAATATACCTATGATTCCTAGCAGTTCCATGGGGTCTATATCATCATTATGAACATAAGTGATTGTCATATAGTATACTGGCTTAGAAAAGCAGGGACCAACACTTAGCTTAATGGCTATGTCACTGGACTCCCATGTAGTCGACCATGGTTCGAGTCCCGAACCCAGTGGCTTAAACTCACGCCAGGCACGTGTGCGTGCCTGCCCAAGATCCCGAGACGAGAATGGAGGAGAAGGGATTGCGGCATGGCCATCCCCCCTGGGGGGGGTGATTTCTTGCTTTCTATCTCTCTGTCTCTCTCTGTCTTCCTAGCAAACGCATACTCCCTATAGCAAAAACCTCTAAGAAAAAAAGCATATTGCTTGCCTTTCATTCTTTCTGTATTCAGAATTTTAACTTTTTGCTTTGTTTCTTCTAACAATTTCAACTTTTTTTGAGTGTGTATGTGCATGTGTGTGTGTATGTATACACACAGAGTAGTGGTTTGAATTAAAAAATTTGTGTCAACCCTTAACTCTACCTCTGATCACATTCCCTTAAAGCTTTGCATACAAACTGGGAATAAATATGTTCCCCATAAGTGTGTACTTAGATGTGTAAATATTCTCTGCTCTAAGTAAATCTGTAAAGAATGAGAGAATAAGTCAAGAATCTAAATTTCTTAAGGAAAAACAATCAACAACTAGGCCAGAGAGGTATGGTGGGTAGCCCGAGGACAGAGCAAATCATCGGGTTCCAGTTATCATAACTTTTAAAGTAAATTTTATCCTAAGATTATCCAAGATTGCTATTATATTTATAGAACTTATTTAACCATTCAAATAATTTCTGGTGAAAACAATTGTAGGGGACCAGCCAATGGCATGGTGGCTGAGGTGGCTGGGTCCTACATGGCGGACTGAAAGTTTTGAGTCCCAGATCTGGTAGATTGAAAAACATGCTGGACATGTGTGTATGCATTCCCATGATGCTGAAAAGAGGGAGAAATGGAGGAAAAGGGAGTATGGATGATCATCTCTCATGGGTAGTGCTGCCTCATTTTCTTCCCCCTCCAGCAAGTGCATATCCCTCTAGTAAAATTAAAAATAAAAAAAGAAAAGATAACAATAGGAGATTCCTTTTCCTATGTTTTAATAAAATGACTTACTATCATTTAGTACCTTAGATACTCTTATTATATGTCTTACATTTACTGCAAACCAAGATCCCACAAATTTCTCATGAATTCTTGATGCATATGGTGATTAAAAAGAAAGAAAGAATGACTAAGAAAATCCTTAGCTAGGCATACCATCATAAAATTTTACAACACGAGAGTTAAGGAAAAGGCTAATGGGGGGGGGAGTTTATCAAAAGGATCAGGAACCAAGTGAAACTAGACTTCTCAATGGCAAAACTGGAAGACAAAAGGAAAAAATGCCTGCTAAATCATAAGTGTAATACCGTGAAAACGACGTGCAGTCAAATCATCAATAAAATATGAGAACAGAACAATCATGTTTTCAGACATGTATAAAAATTTATTTCTTATCCACTCTCATTTAAGAACTTGGATGGTGTGCTCTGCCAAAATGAGAGAATAAATCAAGCTGGAGAAAGAAGATTATGTTGTGACAGTCTCCAAATTTCAGGAAATAAAAAAAGAGAGGTTTATTTCTCGCTCAAGTTCTGTGCCCACTGTAAGTGTTCTACCTGACCTTAATCTGGGTGCTACACGGGCAATATAACCATTGTCTCAAACACTGCTGACAACCAAGACGGGCTTTCATTGTTTTGGGAAATGAAGAAAATACCAGTTTCTTTCACCAATAAATACTATATGAAAGAAAGTGACAACAAAGTATTTCTCACAAGGTAAAGTACATTTTCCCTCTAGGAAAATGTCAGGATTAAATACAGTTATTCTTAAAGCTTGTTTAATGATTTCTGAATAACAATTGTAAAAGTAGCACAAATCAAAAATTTTTTTTTTGAAAAGCCCAATCCCTTCTTATCCTATGTAAAATATTGTAAATAGTAGTGGGTAGTAAGTAAAAGTGAGTGAGTGTAAAGAAAAAGCAGAATGAGAAGATAAAGGATTCTACAGGAAAAATGTAAGGCATCTTCTCCTTTGGTTACCCCCAAGATATTGATGAAATTTTACTCCTATGAAAAAGAGCAATACTGTAACAAGAGTTAATGCTGGCAATGTGAGATATTTTAAAGCATGTGAAAAAAAATCATAATTTTAAATCTTAGAAAGGAAGGAATAAAGCTAAATCATTATTTTTAACACTTAACGTTATGTTTATTAACCTTAGAACACTGCTTCTGAAATATTTATATTTTTGTGCTAATCTATCTATACACATCTCACCAAGAAATCATAAATTCTTTAATAGAAGGAAGAATCTTATTTAATTTTATGCAAGTGTCTGGCATACTGTATATATCTAATACATTTTTATTGTTGAACTGAATTTAATCTTCACAAATCTATGGTATCACTTAAATCTGTGCTTCTCAATCCTGGAAAAACAAAAGTAACAGTATGAGAGTTGTCCAAAAGTACCAATTTCATAGAATAATCTTTAAGATAGGGCCTGTTACCCATTATATGGCTCAAGCTCCTCCTTAACGGTGTTTTTCTGTAAGTAACAGAATGCATGCCAGGAGTTACAATAAGGCCTCCAGTAAATACCCCAACCTGAACCAGTCTGAATCAAGATGGCACCTGGAATGACCACTACCTAAACTTCAAACTCATTACACCCCTGTGGTATGCATTAGCCTGTTAGGTGGTATAAACCTACAAGCCCTGTGATAGTTGACAATGTCCATGGTTACAACCAGATATGACTTTACAAGGAGAATAAACAGGTGGGCTTTGGAATTCCAGGAAGTCCTTCCCTCTTCTAGGAAAAGCTCTGAATATTCCTTCCCTGTATTATTCTGTCCTGTCCACTCATTACTCTATATGCTGTATCTTAAAATATCCAGGTCAAGACACATGAGAAGGTGATTTGAGAGCTGGGCTCCCACTTTTCCATCCGTTGGCCAGTGAATAAATCAGTTTTTCTTTTTCTTATAAATTAATTCCATGATAAAGAACAGCCAAAGACTCCAATTTTGGGAATAAATTAAAATTGGTAACAGATCCAAACATAAGGGTTATTTTGAACTTCTCAAATGATTTTAATGTGAAGTCAGCATTGAGAACCATTGATCTAGGTTATTTCTTTCTCTCAAGAAGACCACATGTAGGGACCAGCTTATGGTGAAATGGTTACGTCACTGGACTCCCACATAGCCAACCACAGTTGGAGTCCTGGACCCAGCAGCTTAAACTCATGCCGGGTGCATGCATGCCCAAGATCCCAAGAGGAGAATGGAGGAAAAGGGACTGAGGTGCCCATACCCCTGGGGGGAAGATGAATTTTCCCTTTTTATCTGTCTTTCTCTGACTCTCTGGCAAGCACAGGTGCCCTTTAACAAAAATCTCTAAAAAAATAAATAAAAGATGACAACATACATACATATCTCAAAGTTCTTAAGTTGCTGGCATAGAGTAATATATTGGGGTCATCAGAAAACTCATGGTGTATTTTTGCATAGAAAGGCATAGAAAAAACTATGTTCTGACTTGTCCAACAACCCAGTAGTTCTTAAGAACTGATGTCTATACTTTTCTTCAAATTTTTCAACTATTTAAACTCTCTTCTATTAATTTTAAAAATGATATACTACTGCATTATAATAGTATCATGATTTACATCTTAATTGATGAAACATCACCATTGCTAAATTCAGGACATTCCTAGAGTCCTTCTGAACATTTCATTTCCATAAATGGTCTTTTGCAAAT